ACCACCACCTCTGCCTCTCCCCCGCCGTCCACCGCTACCGCCGCCAAATCCTCACCGACCACCACCGTCCCCTCGTCGTTCCACCACTCAACCTCATTTCTTCTTCGCCGCTCAAAACCCTCACAATCACAGTCGCCGACACCACCGCCGCGCATGCATATGACGCCAACAAGTCGTACATGCTCGACATCCCCTCCACCGCCGCCGCCGCAATTCTGACCGCAGAAACCCCATGGGGAACTATGCACGGACTGGAGACGTTCTCGCAGCTGGTGTGCTTGAAGTCGTCGGTGGTGGTCTGCTCCGCCGCCGCCGCCAATGAGTTCTTCACTAAGAACATGTAATTTATAAATAAATCTGGATATATGTTCTCATTTCTCTCTTCCTTACTGTAATTATCGCATTTAAATTTTCAGCCAAGGGGAAAATAAAACTCCCACCAAGTCCGGCGGTGTGGTACCGATGGGGAGGCTGATTTTGAGTTTTTTTTGTAGATCGGACGGAGGACGGCGCATGTAGAGAATTTCACGCAAGCTGAAACCTTAATCGACTATGTACATGTTCAATAGTCGATTAAGCTAATCAACTATGTTCTGGCAGTCGATTAAGGTTGATCGACTCCATTTTTTTATTTTTATTTTGGATTTTTTGTTTATTGATTCCAAGTGTATAAATCAAGTATAATGTTTGTATATTTTTGTTTTTTGTAAAATATAGTTGATTTTGCATTTTTTCGCAATTGTGATTTGTTATGTTTAGTAGCAGATTCTTAATCAACTATGTTTCATCATTGTCGATTAATATACCTCATATAGAAAAAGAAAATTAAAAAATTAAAGATTTTCCTTAATCGACTATGAAGCGTAGTCGATTTAAGGCTAATCGACTATGCTTCATAGTCAATTAAGGAAACTGATACAGAAAATAAGGGGGAAAAATGGAGAAAAAAAAAATCGTTGAGCGCGTGACCCAGTGATGATGTGGCGGGCGGGGCAAAGTTGGAAAACATAATGGCTCAAAATGGGTGTGAACTTTTCTCAAATAGACTGAAATATTTTGGACCTCTTTCCATTAGAAAAAATAATGAGGGGATTTTCTCAAATAGCCCCAATAATAAATTTGCCTTTTTTTATAATACATGTAAAATAGACGAACTTATTGACAAAGAGATAAAGCACCTGAACCTAGATTAATAAATATTGTTGGTCAGATAACTTCTTACAAACATCCCTATAAAAAATGACATTATTAATTATTTGAGTATTTTACAACAAATGTATTTGACACAAGTTTCAAATTTTGATTTTTACACAAATTACTAGATAAAAAGCTCAAAAATTACTAACATGTCCCGTGAGACATCTTAATACTACTCTTTTGACATTTTCATTCAAGTAAAAAAAATCTCAAATTAAAAAAAAAAAAAAAAAGAAAGAAAAAAGAGAAAAAAGAGTTTCCTTATATGGTAACTTATATTTGGTCTTGGTCAAAGAACACATAGTTTGTCTTAGAATAATTGGGGAATCACTTAGAAATGATTAGCATTTAGCTCAACCCATGATTAGAATAGGACCCATAAGATTGTCTTTTTTTTCTTTTTTTTTTTCCATTAAGCTAATTATTTTTGTTTCTTTTTCTAACTTCTTTTCACTTAACTTTTCCACTAAAAAAAATTATTCTTATTTTATAGCTCCATAAACTGATTGCATCCACAATTTCCAAATATCCCAAAAAAGTTGGTAAGAATTTGCAATTAACATAAAGGAACATCACATGGAGGCAACAAAGGTGTATTTTAAATGAAGTAACCTGCAACCAACCATATATGTGTACTCGGTAAATCTACACTATCGTATAATAGTTCGCAAATTATACAAAGAGACGATGTAAACTACACTAGGCTAATCATGTGTGACAAACTCGACCCAACGACAGTTGACAATAAGACTCGAACTCGGGTCAATTGACATAAAATCACTTGCTCCAACCGTTAGACCATCCCTTACTGAACTGTTTAATTTAGCTTCTTATATGATTGATAATGGGCAAAAGTTGAAATGGTATCTACTTGAGTGTCTACTAGCATTAAGTAACTACTTTCTCAACTCACGATATGTGACTTGAACATCGAAAAATTATCGCTTGAGGTAATATAATTCTAATATTTTACCTAACGCATGCAATTTTGCCTTGTAAAATTGACAGATATCTACTCTTTGTATGGTCGACTCAAAACCCCTATTTGGTCAATATTCTCGAGAACTCTAGCTCGAGATTTCCCTGAACTATTCAAGGGTGCATTTTGATGACAGTACTTGAGATAGAAATTTTAAATCCATAATAATAAATCCGTTAGGCTTGTTTAAATGGAGTCATTTTTTACAATGAATTTTAAATCCATAATTCTTATTTCATAATTATAAATCAAATGTGTAACACCCAAAACTAATCATTGTTTTTTTTGGTACAATATACTTTAAAAAATTTAAAAAGTAGACATTGATTAGACATCTTTTTCGATAATCAGATTCGGTTAATGAGGTCAGTAGTTAGGTTTTGGAATGAACCCAGACTATTATATTTGTTCTAAGCACAAAGATATTCTTCTCTAATTGCAATTAATGTGGTCGGCCAACATTTAAAATTATATTTACGTCTTCAATGTTTTTTTTTATTGCTCCATCTGTTTCACAATATATGTTGTTTTTCAAAAAAAAAAATATTGTTTCATATTTGCTTTAGTTACAATTTTTTTCAATTATGCGCTCTTATGAACTCTCCAACATTTTCTTTGCATTAATTAATAAATAAGGGTATTTTGGTCTAACAATATCTATTTTCCTAAAATCAAGACCTATTCATTGAGTTTCTTAAGATTTGTGCAAAAATAAAAAACGACATCTATTTAGAAACGGATGAAGTATTGGAACCAACTCTCAATCTCAATTAAATAATTGCCACACTGCTCTACACTAATTTCTCATCTACATTTAGAATTTTGCTTCTGCATTTATCATTTTTGTTTACAAAAAAAACTTTTAGTTCATCGATTCTCGTTGATTATGTTAAGATCTTATAATGATATACCTTAATCAAATTATTAAAAATGTATAATGTAGTCCTAGTTCATTGTATTAAGATTTCATAATTTGGTTTCAAGAAATATTTGTTTAGATTAATGCATGTCTTCTCCATTCAAAGAATTAACCCTCAATTTCAAAATGAAGCACACATTAAGGCATCTTAGTTCCCAAAGAACAAGGTTCATATTATTGTACTAATGATTTTCATATTTGTTTAATATTGCAATTAACTGACATAACTGTGATAACTGAAACCCTTTAAAATATGTTTTTTTAATAATATTATGAGATAAAAAAATTAAATAATAAATATATATATTATGCCTAAATTAGGAAATTCATTGATCCATTGAGAACATGGGGAGTTCATATGATCACATGGACAATGGAAGAGGTTGATGTTGGTTGACCATTGCTATATATATATATATATATATATATATATATATATATATATATATATATATATATATATGTGTGTGTGTGTGTGTGTGTGTGTGTGTGTGTGTGTGTGGGTGTGTGTGTTTGGCATGTGAAATAATAAGAAACAATTTGATCATGTTCAAATTTTGAATAATTTGCTTTTATTAACTATTTCTTGTTTTCTTCATCATTGTAAATGCATGTTTTCTTGGCTTATGGGATCATACACATGATGAAATACACCATGTTATTTTAAATAAGTGTGCACACACACGAGTGCGTGTTATTATGTATAAATCTACGGTTTCAATCTATATACTGTATTTCGCCAGGTTTAGGTTCCACGTAACCTGCTTTCATCATTATTTTCTTGTTCGTTTTTAACTCAAGAAAAAATAATACTAATTTTAGTTTGGTTGAAAACAATATTGTTGGTTGCAAATACAATTTTTTTATTCTTTAAATCATAATTTTATAAGCATATAATTTTTTAATCCAAACCTGTTTAGGAGAGGCCCGGCCCAAACCCGTATGAATTAAATTTAGGGTGAATTTCACTTTCCCCTTGAACTTTGACTCGGTATCATTTTACTCCATTTTACTCTTGATTGCATCAACTTGCCCCCATGCACTTGAAAACTTTTCTCAATGTGGGCCTCAATGTGGGCCTCACTGTTAGTTGTCAGATATTTTGACCTTAAAACTCTTTGATCTAAACTCTAAAATTACCAAAACGCCACATCTCCCAGTTTAAATAATTATTAGGGTAAATAGCACTTAACCCCCTTGTGGTTTGAAAATTTTGCACATGACCCCCTTGTGGTATGAAATTAGGCACTTAACCCCCTTGTTGTTTTGACATTTTGCACATGACCCCCTTATGGTATGCAATTAGGCACATAACCCCCTCGTGGTTTTAACATTTTGCATATGACCCCCTTATGGTATGAAATTAGCACATAACCCCCTTGAATAGAAAAGGGGAAAAGACTAAATTACCCCTATCAATTGTTTTAATTTAAACATAATTATTCTATAAAATGAAAAGTTTAATGTGTATTTTTAAAATGAGAAATATAATATATTATTGTTTTTTTTAGAATTTTACAGCACATATATTTTTTTAATTTAATTTTCATTGGAGAAATATTTTTTTTAGATTTTTCCAAAAGAATAAAAAAAATAAAGACTTTGTTTTAAAAAAAAAAATTAAAGTTCGATAACAGCTATAATATAATATATTATACAAAAAATAGTAATATAATAATCATAATTAATGATAATATTAAAGATTTTCAAATTGATTTCTAAAATTGAATAAACTTTAGGGGTAATTTAGTCTTTTCCTGTTTTCTATTCAAGGGGGTTATGTGCTAATTTCATACCATAAGGGGTCATGTGCAAAATGTCAAAACCACAAGGGGGTTATGTGCCTAATTTCATATCATAAGGGGGTCATATGCAAAATATCAAAACCATAAGGGGGTTATGTGCTTAATTTCATACCAGAAAGTGGTCATATGCAAAATGTTCAAATCACAAGGGGGTTAAGTGCTATTTACCCTAATTATTAAAACAAAAAAACAAATAAAAAACAAAAAAAGAATAATAGAAAATTCAAGACAACAAGAAAATATAGTCCACGACGCCAGCCACAATTTATTTTTTATTTTTATAATTTTTTTAATAATTATTTAAACTGGAAAGGGTGACTTTTTTTGTAATTTTGCAGACTTAGATCAAACGGTGTTAAGGTCAAAAGACTGAAAACTAACGGCAAAGGCCATATTAAGACAATTTTTCAAGTACATTGGGGCAAATCAATGCAATCAAGAATAGGAGGGGGTAAAATGATATCGAGCCAAAGTACAAGGGGAAAGTGGAATTTACCTTTAAATTTAAGAGTTTACTGCAAAAAATACCCCTGTGTTATCTTAAACTAGCAAAAACCCCCCTATGTTAATTAAACTAGCAAAAAACACCCTATGAAATTTTTTAAGTAGCACACTCAACCCACAATCCATTTGAGTGTTGACCAGCTGTGAAAATACGTTAATACCCTTGGGGGTTTTTTCAATTATAAAATTATTCTATTTTTACCTATTAATAAAATAGAAATGAGATTTAACAGTTTTTGATTAATTTCTCAGTTTTTTTTTAGTTTTTTTTACTATCATATAATTTTTGAATATTACGAATTATTTTAAATTTCATTTTTGAATAGGCTGAAAAGACAACTAAATTATTATACTTATACAAAAGAAAAGACAACTAAATTATGTAAAAAAAATATTAAACTACGTAAAAAAAATATTAAATTATGTATTTCTTTACCTTGTAATAATTATTAAATATCTATACTTAATTTGATTTCTAAAATTTTTAATAACATTTCAATCTAAAATTTTTACTAATTTTTTAATAGTATTTCAATTTCTAAATAATCGAAATCAAAAAGACACAATATTAAAATAAAAAAAAAGAAAAAATCAGAAAAAGAAACATACAAATAGAATTCTGCAAAAAATTGGCCGCTGCCATCTCCGACAACACCACCACCGTCTTCCCACTTAGAAATTGAATCCAAAAGACAACAAATCAAAAATTAATTTCTTTAACCAGATCCAGAAAAAAGAAAAAAGAAAAAAAAGGGAAAGATTTGAGCTTCTGCAAAACCCAGCAACAATCCCAAAAAAAAAAAATTCCACAAACCTGGCCACTTGTGCTCGAGTGTGTACTTCGAGCGGCGGCGGTCACGGCGGCGCTTGGAGAGCAACAAGGCGGAGCAGCCATGGTGGAGGATGTGTTGCGGTGGTGGGAGGCGACTGGACGGGGTGTTGGGGTTGGAATTGGTGGTAGGACGATGAGATTAGGGTTTCTGTAGAATTTATGAGAAATTCATTAAAATACATACTAACACATTTTTTGGGCCAATTTTGTCATTTTAGGTTGAAAAATTCATTACCACCCACGAATCCGGCGCGTGTGTCACACGAAAGGGCACTAGGGGGGTTTATGCCATTGACTAAATTTCACAGGGGGGTTTTTGCTAGTTTAAATAACATAGGGGGGTTTTTACCATTTCAAGATAACACAGGGGTACTTTTTGCAGTTTACTCTTAAATTTAATTAAAACCTGGCTTTGAACAAATGAAATTTGTTGATGTATATGAAGGCAGATTATAACACACAATCAAGGGCATTTTTTGCTGCTCTAATCTATATAAACATGCAGATTAAAATTTTGAGCCCCAATTTTCTTCATGGTATATATCTTATAAGCTGGCATTATGTCGCACTTGTACACAAGAATGGCAAAAACTCGATTATTTACTTCTTACCGATTCGATATTTACTATTACGTTATAAGTGTGTGTGTGTATTTTTCAAGCCGACAGCTTTTGGTCAGCCGATTTTGATCCTCCGACGGACTGATAATTAGACCGGACATTCTGAAATTCATGCAAGAAAATCATAGGATCAGTCTACATGCACAAATATATATATATATATATATATATATATATATGATAGAAAAATTGAGTACCTCAAGAAGTGTAATGTAATAGAAATCTTCCATATGCTGCATGAGTGCACTTCCATCTCTAATTGATCGGAAAATATTTATTTCCGTGTTCAATATGTTCTCGACGAGTTCTCTTTCTCCTCTCATCTGCACACAAAATTAAAACAAATGCTATTTTATATCCACAAAGTGATTAGACTAAACCAACATCAAATAATTCCGACTTATTTAATTAATCATGACTTTATAATTGAATTTGAAAGACGTACAAATTCAGTGACAAGAACATCAGGTGTCGCCTCTCCGATAACATCACCTTGATATCCATCCTCAAGAACATCCAAATTATCCTGCAATCATATATATATATATATATATATATATATATATAAACAACATGAAATTAAAATCAAAGGAAAGAGTGTATACAGCATGAATAAAATAACTTTAGCATAAAAAAATCGAAACACAAAACTTAAGCATAATGCACCCAAAAAACGAAAAAAAAAAATACCCAAAACATATCATAAATTTTAACTGATAAATAAGCAAAATATAGATTGAATTTACGAAAATTATTTAATCGTAAATATTTCCCTAACCAAACAAGGTGACATTATTATGTCCCTCGGCTACATTGATAAAATATCATACCTTTGTATTTCCGATATCTCTAGCGGCCAAATAAACTGGTTGCGCCACGTGGCAGTATCCCATCAGACGTGGCACCGTTGGTATTATATCTCTATGGTTCACAACTCTCCAACTGTCCTTTACTTTCTGCTACCACATAAACAAAGATCTAGTTAAAAATCATCGTAAATATCTCAAATATCAATACCTTAATTCGAGTAACATATACCAACAAAGTACAAACCTTCGATTTTAAAAGAAGAAAAGAAAAATCAAGTACAGAACAGCAAGTCCTTAACGGAAAAAATAAAATAAAATAAAATACAGTTATATAAAATAAAGTGGGTAAATTTAGGCCACCCCCTAGGTAATGTCAAATTACAAAAAATCCCCCGTGTTTGGGTAATTACAACCACCCCTCCACTATGAATCTTATTACACGTCCACCTTATGTTGTCAAATTTAGTGGAATCTTCTAGATTACGTGGAATATTCTCCAGTTGTATCCGTTTTATCCATTCGAGCTCCACATATTGAAACAAGATGATCATAAGATGTGTCTCTTAGCTTGTAAACATCATTAGATTGTGGTGTAACGAAAACTGCATTTTTGCACAAAACAAGTACAACCTATAGAACATTCCACGAAAACTAGAAAATTTTGTTGAATTTGACACCGCATGGGTGGACAAGTAAGAAGATTCATAGTTGAGGGGTTGGTTGTAATTACCCAAACAGAAAGGGTTTTTTCGTAATTTGACCTTACCTTAGGGGGGTGGCGTAATTTACCAAAAAAAATTGAAAAAAACGAAAGAGCTTTTGGCCTTTGTGGAACAAGAAATTGGCAAGAATCTCACTTTTCATTTGGATCTGAAAATGATTTTAGATTTTAAAGAAAGTCACTCGATACACGTAAATAGAAGCATTATCAAATATACTCTTTGTTTTCAAGTTTGGTAATCGAAAAGTATAAACATGAAATTACCTGGTTGTAAACTTGAGCAAATATTTTGTTTCCAACTCGAGGAGATCCGAAATTATACATTGTCACATTAATAGCTCCATGCCTAGGTTCGACAGATAGAGACGGACAAATAAGATACACCGATATTACATTCATCGTGTAATAACAAAGACCAACCAACCTAGAATGCATCGAACAAGAAAAAAAGAAGGTTGTCGCAACCAAAAAAAAAGGGAAGAACTCACTTTGCTAATTGACTTGAAGACAATTCAAGAGCCATAAGCGTAGCTAATGCACCTCCCAAACTATGTCCGGTCACATAAATATGCCATTTCCGAAGCTGATCCGAAGAATCGCCTCTGTTATAAAAACACAAAATCTTTTAGTGAAAAATGTCAAAGGCTTCGAAAAAAGAGTTAGTTTCATTTTATCTAGAAATCGTGATTACCTGTAACCGATAGCTTGTTTAATGAGGGAGATAAGCCTTGTCCTAACGGAATCATATGCATTCAAGAAACCACTATGAACCTAGAAAGTTATTTACGGGTGGTAATAAGATTAGTTAAAAGCCGATATCGACGGGTAGTATGTATTAGGTAGTTGTAAGTTGGAATTAGAAATGCCGAATTGTACCTGAACTTCGTTCTTAAAGTCACCACCTATCCTTTCAGGGTTTAGTCTGTAATATTAGAATAGAAGTCAATAAAACTAGGGTAAATAGCACTTTAACCCCCTGTGGTTTGAGCTTTGTGCACATGACCCCCTGTAGTTTGAACTTTGTGCACATGACCCCCCTTGTACTTTTACTATAAGTAGATAATCCCCTGTGGTATTCCACTTGGTGAATAATCATGCTCATTAGGAACATGAAATTTTTTAAAGCACAAGGGGGTTATGTGCTTATATTAAAATACAAGGGGGCCAGATGCTATATTGAAAGTATAATGGGGTCATGTGCACAGAGTTCAAATCACAGGGGGTAAGTGCTATTTACCCATAAAACTACAAGCAAAGCATATTAAGAAAAAACAACGAGCAAGGCGTCATCTTATAAAAGATTCAAAATGCCAATATATTTTAGGGGCAATTATCTATAGGCACATAATGGGATACTTATTAACAAATAGATCGAAACAAAAAACTCCATTACCAAAATTTTTATCTTGTCCTAGATTCCTTGACCAATTTTGAGTGTATAATTTAGTCTAAAATTGGAATTCAATAGTTTATTTAGAGTCTGTAGGCTCTAAATACGGACACGCGGGGATACGCATAAATATAAAAAAAAATATAGGGGTATTTATAAATTATAAAAATATAGGGGTAAATTTATAAATTGTAAAAAATTATTTTCGCCAAATCGCATAAGAGAACCGCTCGCACTTGTTGCTTGTGTTCTTGGTCGTCGTCGCCGCTAGAGTTTTGGACTTTTGGGTGGACTCTCAAAAAAGCCAGAGGAAATGTGTATTACGGAGAAAAGGAAATAGGTATGTTTTCATTAGGGCTTTCTCTTAAAACATAAGATCCGTGTCCCAACTTTTTAAAAATTGTGGACACTGCCCGACACGGGTGTCCTACTTTTAGTGAAATTACGACACGGCCCGACACAGGTGTCCGAGCCGTGTCCGGGTGTGTCCGAGTGCCCAGGTGTCGGATACGGGGACTCTTCACTTTCTAGAAGTGTCCGTGCAGCATAGTCATCCACTAACACAGATTGTCAACGAAGGGGCCATTTTATTAATTTTTGTAGTTCATGTGGGTATTTGGTATGACCCCCATTGTTCAAGGGTGTAAACTGAAATTTCCCAAAAAAACAGAACTAAAAAAAATTGAAAAAAAAAAAAAGTCAACAATGTCGGTTGGCGTCAACAGCGACAGTGGTCAAAATTGGGTCAAGCGTCAAATTAGTTAAATTAGGGTTTAAGTTTAATGGGGTGAATGTAATTTTGCATTTATTAGAAAAGACATATTGAAAGGGTGAGTTTATTTGCAAAATAGAAAAATTGATCTCTCTTTTTGAATCAAGTATTTGGACCTCCAAAAGTCATTAACCCATAAAAATAAGGGATTATTAATTGGAGGTCCCTGAAAAACATTTGGTACCGCTTAAAGGACAGACAATATTTCTCGTTTCACTAAAGGTCCTCTAATTGGATTTCCGTACCATTTAAAGTCCTTGGAGCCCTCTAATTCGGTTATATAGGTGATGGATATACCACCACACTAAGCAGAAACTCTAAGTATCTGCACTTCCCTAAAGAATTCTAGTAAAGGTGTTACTAAAGAACGAAACACAAAATAGAAAGAAAATAAACAAGAAAAAGCAAATCGAACTATTATCTTTTACGAAAATAAATGCATTACCCGGCAGGAACAAGCATCAAATCTGTCAGCAAATCCTTCCACTTAGTCTGGAAATATATCGAGCCCGTCAGCATATATATATATATATATATATATATATATATATATATATATATATATATATATATCAAACATATACAACTCTTTGCACGGGATTCCGGAAAAATCAAGAAACTTACTTGTTCCGTTCCCCTGAATGCGATAACAAGTCTTTCTCTTTCCAAATCACGCCAAATTGCTACCTATTATAGAAAATGTACAATCACTAAAAAAAACGGAAACAAAAAAAAAATAAAAAAATAAAAAAATAAAATTGCCTGAGTGTCGGTTTCTTCGTTATCGAAGAAGCAAATCTTTTCGAACTCGGACTTAATAAACGTCGGATGACCCAATGCGTTCGCCAGCATTGCCCACGCCTCCATTGCACTCTCAGCTGTCGAGAAAAGTGCCTTCATCTCTTCATCTTCCTTCTCGCTCAACACTAACGTATTATTCGGGTCACTAATTAATAATCTCTTACTTTCTTTGTCCACTTCTTCGGTTTTCCCAACTCCTATATGCAACTTAGAAACCGCAGCATTTACGACCATCAACGCACCCAAAATCGAGTCGGTCTGTCTTAATATCTCTTGCGTCACTTTCTTGATGTCCGGTAGAGAAGACGCATTTGGCGTTGTTGTTGTTACCGCATCGTCGCTAATTGTGTCCTGGTTATTAGGAGTTGCGAGGCCGGATTCGACGTAACTCGTCTCCGCTATTTCGCGCGACTGAATTCCGATATTCTTTAATAAGTCAAAACCCTCCCACTTTATCTTCTCCGGTAAAGGAAGACCGAATTTTTGAGCAACTTTTTGATTGACGGAATCGGCTAAATTCTTCCAAAACTGCTTTTCTTCTGACGGGCTGTTCGGCGTACCATTACTATTAGTCTCATTTGTGGGGCCCGTTTCACTGCATGTTTGTTCCTGAAGGTTCTTGGCATCGGAGGAGGAGGAGAACCAGTCCTTTTGAAGATACGAATTGTTTATTGATTTAAGCTGTCCGAAGGCAAACTGCACAAACTCACGAGCTGGCACGGTTTGGTCTGATCCGATAATCATTTTTAGTGCAGGCTCGAAGCCGTTTTTCTGGAAAAATTCGGTTACTATTGGGATTTTCCACCATTTCTTCTCGTCGTCCATTTTTTCGAAACTCTTGTACTTTATCTGAAACGTGTTTGGCAAGAACGAGTATTTCACCAGTTTAATATATTATTCATGCATAAAGAAGAGTATTACTATGTCATTGAATGAGATAGATATTAATTAACAATCAATCTACTTCGAGAAAATCCCAAATTTAGCCATAATTCGACCGTTGACGGTTGACGGGATTTAGTTAGCAGCATGAAATAATACAGGGGTCTTTTTGCAATTTGCTCAAAGAAAAATCCCAAATTCAGCCCTAATTCAACCGGTGACCGTTAGTTGTTGACTGTCAACCAAACGGCGTGACTCAATGAGTTAAAATGTGACAACATGAGAGTATATTTCGTTGACGGCAATAAATGGGAGACCAAATGTGAAAAATGTGCCAACTTCAGGGACCAAAACTGTAATTATCCATCGTTGACCGTTAGTTGTTGACGATCGAACAGACGGAGAGACTCAATGTGTTAAAATGTGGCAATATGAGTGTACTTTGTTGACGACGGTAAATGAGGGACCAAAAGTGACAAATGTGCAGGCTTTGAGGACTAAAACTGTAATTTGGGTGGAAACTTTTACGACATAATATTCTTCCATTTTTCATAATCTAAGTTTCACGATTGTCAATAAAAATCTAACCAACTTTTTCTTTTTCCAGGTGTAGAGATCGAAATTTTGAGATAAATTACTAATTAATAACCAAAATAAATCAGTTATTAATTAGGTCTCAAAATTTAAAGTCTATAACATATTTGGTCTTTAAAATGTCTGGCCCACGCTGCAAGTCGAGAAACCTTAAATTGTGCCTATAAAGGAAAGCCTCCAGCTCATGCAAAAAGAGACTCACACAGACACATATCGAGCTCTCAAGCTCACGTCTCGAGCCTCCGCCTCGAATTCATTTGAATTCGAGGTGTTCGTGATAGGAAATCATTCGTTCGATTCAAGAACAAGTTTTTAAGCCCTTGAATCAAATCTAGAATAGGAGAGAAGAATCAGGGAAATTCACGGAGATTGTAATCCGCTTTCGTTTGATTATAAATTATTTGTTCCCTATTTTCCTGTATTGTATTTTTATTATGTTTTGCAGACTCGAAAATTTGTGGTTAACACCAGGACACGAGTACTTTGCCTGTTTAGATCAATCTTCTCATCGAACAAGATTTTATTTTGACGCTTCGTCTAATTTTCAAAAACTGTAATTCCTAATACCTAATTTCATGTTTGCAATAGACAATAACTAAATTAAAAATAATTAAAAAAAAAATGGTTAATTACGGTCATCCCTGAAATAAGGTCAAATTACAAAAAACCCCTCATGTTTGGATAATTACAACCACCCATCAACTATGAATCTTCTTACACGTTCACCATTATGGTGTCAAATTGACCAGAATCTTCTAGATTCCATGGAATGTTCTCTAATTTGTACTCGTTCGTGCACAAAAATGTAGCTTCTGATGCACCACAATCTGATATTTACAAGCGAAGAGACACATCTTATGATCATTTTATTTCAAAATGTAGAGCTCGAATGTGATAACACGGATACAAACTGGAGAATATTCCACGTATTCTAGAAGATTCCACTAAATTTGACACCATAGGGGTGGACGTGTAAGAAGATTCATAGTTGAGGGGTGGTTGTAATTACCCAAACAAGAGGGGTTTTTTCGCAATTTGTCCTTACCTCAGGGGTGGCCGTAATTTATTAAAAAAACTTTAAAAAGAATTCAGAGAGAGTAAGTTACCTCTACTTCTATTTTTCCACCACCTCCCATCCCTTCCAAGTCAAGAAGTACTTCATGGGAATTTCCTATCAAAACGGAGTTCAATTTTAGGCTTGAACGTGAATTTATCAGTAACTTATTATAACACTAATGTGTCGTATGCAACGATTAAATAATACCATCGCAGAGGTTTTCCAAATCTATACAGGCATTCCCCATTCGTTTGTGTGGAGTCACGAGATTCGCATCCCAAGCCGCCACCTAAATATTTAAATTAAACATCTGAAATAAGAAAAGCAAAAAAAGAAAAGAAAACGCACTCATTATAATGGAACATGATAGTATCTGAAGCCAAAACATTGTATTAGGATTTTCGGGTTTCAGGTTTTCCGCCATATTTATTTTGAATGTTGAGCCTGGATAATCATTGATAATAATTATTATTATAAAAAAAAAATTAAAATAAGAAAATCACATAAACCATAATAACCTGAAGATTGTGCATCGGTGGCTGCTTTATATTCAAAGTGAACTCCTCGTTCCACTTTGGTTCTTTCGTCCTGACAAGTTGTCAGTGGAAAAGCTCGTTTCAATGTACATACATTGTCATATGATCTTTTTACTACTCTGAAACAAACTAACGGTTATTTAAATAAATTAACGCAACAAGAATTCCATGAGTTGATCGAAAAATGATCATGCTACAAAATATAATTCTTATATTTAAATAAATATGTCTAATATCTTATATTCCAACTTTTGGGATCAATCGATAAGTGAAAAACGAAACAAATTACCCCCACTTGATCTTGCTTTTGACTTCTTGACAATCCAATTGCATGATCACGTACGGATCACTAGTTCCCTGAAAATAAAACGTACGAACATTAAATTGTTTTATAATTCGAAGACTGATTAATCGCAAAAGAAAGAATTAGAGTACATTACATTACCCTACCCAAGGATCCATGGCAGGTAAGTTGAAACCTTTCTTCAGCTTTATAAATAATTGTCCATCGTAAATTTCCCGTACAAACGACCTGAAAACGACGTTGAATCTTAACAAAATCCAAAGAAAAGAGTTCACTATTTTTTTTCCTAATTTTTTTTATTAGGACATTACATTTTGAGGTGCAAAAACGTAAAGACGAACATAGCTAAATAAACGGATTACTATCTCTCGATCTTAGTCAACATAACAATAATACTTTCCGATGAATGATAGAGTTAGCTTTGTCGTATTTTGACAAAAGCGGAAATTACGTACTCTGAAAGGAATACTGTCTGGCACTTGCCTGCATCCATCTCGCGCTTGCCGATTTTTTCCTATTAACAAAAGTGAACGAGAACTTCAAAGACTAAGAATAATTTTTTTTAAATGATGGAGTTACTTAATTTCCACAATTCTACTATAAAATTAAAATAAATAAATATATAAATAAATAAACTTCCCATTGATTACCATTATACCTTTTTAAATTGTCAATCACAAAAATATTTATTCGATCGGTGATACTTTTAATCTATGTAGCACGGAAACTTCAACTTCTTAAAGTTTCCAAGTTTCAGACACTCGAGGACACCAGTCGGACACCTTATGGACCATTTTGCAATTTCTACAAAGTTATTAGCATGTTTGAATAACAAATTTTTCAAATAATTTTGTGTTTCCCTAATTACAGTATAACCTCCATAAATTAATAACCTTGTTTAAATAATATATTTTCTCGGTGTCGAGTTGGGAACAACGTGCTAGATTAAGAAGTTATTAATTAATGTATAAATTAATAATTAATAATTTATCTATAAACTAATATTTCGCTAAATTAATAGAATTTTGATGGTCTTAAGAGTATTAATTTATAGAGATTTATCTGTATTTACATGTATTTAATGATTAATTGCAAAAAAAAGAAGACAAATATCCCAATTTCATCCCATTTCCCCATGTGAGAGAGAGAGAGAGAGAGAGAGAGAGAGAGAGATTACAGGCGGGGTGGTGTAAGCTTCAAAAGCAAAGCCGGCGAGAATAACGGCCAAGTTAATATCAAAAGGAGGCCTCTCTTCCACACTCTCCTCCACCGAAACGGAATTATCAATCTCGGCGCTTGCTTTGCAGCAGTAGTATTTACTGAACCTCGGACCCAACAACAAAAACCCATTCGATTTCTTGTCGGAAAACAGTTTCCTGGAGAGCAAAACTTTCTTGGAGAACGAAAACGAACGAGGGTTCTTGAATTGAACCGGTTTTAGGTATTTGGCCGGCATGAATTTGGGGTGGGATTGAAGAGCGGCCATCGATTGAGATGAAATTTTGATTGGGGATTTTTTTTTTTTTTTTGGGAGCCGTTTGTAATGAGAAATTGAAAGGACTGATTTTTGAGAGCACTTTAAAAAGGTTGTTGAGAGAATGTACGCGAACGTGTGATATTTACCAACGGTCATTTTTTAAATAGGCAAATTATGGAGGTAAAATTAAATTACGAAAAAACCCCTCGTGTGTGGGTAATTACAATCACCTCATCAACTATATATTGTCTTGCACGTCCACCCTTACAGTGTTAAATTTTACATATTGAATGAGGGAGTTTTTAGTTAGACAATACATAATTGATGTGGATGGTTGTAATTATCCTAACAATATGAAATTTTTTTTTTTGGAATTCGATTTTATCTCAAAGAGGTAGCTGTAATTTGCCCTTCTCGAATATACCATATTTTTTTTTCTAATTTCCAAACGTTTTGACCTTTTTTTCCCTTTGGTAGTAATATATATTAAATTGGTAGTAGTTTGGTGAAATCAATTGTATTGGATTTGGAATTAAACTTTTTAGGACCTTTTCAATTCCGTTTCGAAAAGAAATCGGTAAATGGAATTTCGAGAATTGTAATAAAAAAAATATATATTCTAAAACTAAAACTATGGGACCAGAATCGTCATAATTTGAAATTTCTATTTTTTTCTTCATTTAAAAACATAGGATCTAATATGCATTCCAATTTCATTCCAAAAAAAACCAAAATATTATAAAAATCCAAATTTGCAGAATTTGGAATGAATAATATATTATTTCAAAATTGGCTAAAATTTTATTTAATAGGGACACTCAATATGAGGGGAAAAGACTATTTTGCTTAGTTACGGGGTTTCGTGAGAGCTTATTTACAGAGTTTAGTTATGTTTAGTGGTCATCTAGCAAGAAATCCATACCTATTTGCAATCATTTCTCTCCGAAATCTGTAGCTAAACAAACTGAACCAACAAAATACGTAGATCTAATTTTCCAAATGACTATTGTGCATGAATGTGATTGTATGTGCATGTGTGTGTGCGCGCGTGTGCGAACGTCGCTCTGTGTGGTGTGCGTGCGCGTGTGTGTCACTATGTGGATGTGTGCACGTGTGTGACTTTGTATGGAAAAGTTTTGTTGATGGCATTGCGGGAAGCGGGAGTGGAACAGATCCGAAGGGTTACAACAAAGATTGAAGAGTTGCAAAAAAGATGGATGCACTGGTGGAGAAGAACATATGGATACTGAACTTTTAGCAAAATTCAAAATCTCATTATCCTAATTTGAAAGAGTATTTGTCCAAAGATGTCTAGCAAATTATTCCAATAACAAAAGAATTCTCAAATCCAAGACAACTTTATTAAATTACCATAATTAAAGATAACAAATCCAAAATTCTAATCCTAACCAAGGGAAAACTATTTTTTATTACATCTCGAGAACAATCTTCATATAGAAATCTCGAAGCATCTAACGAAACCAAACCAAATTCACTAAAATACAAAAATCAAAACAATCAGAAAACGACGTCGTCCCAGTTTCACTTCTTCTCTCCCATGCCCAAAGTGTTCTTCACACCATCAATGGCACCCTGAGCCATGTGAACAACTTGCTCTCCAGTCTACAAATTAATCAATAAATTAATTAAATAAATAAATACTATTTTTAGCTAATATAATACAAATTAATGGACAAAATGCACTTCGCCCCTATAAATTTCTTATCTTCGCACTATCCCTCAAAAAATTAGAAAAAGGGACAACGTGCAGATAAACAAAAATAACATTTAACATTTGCCCCAAAAGCCAATTTCTGGTGGGTATCGTGCAACAGAAAAAAAATTTTTTGAAAGGGCAACGTGCAACAAAAACACTCAATTCCGACGAATAATCCATCAGAATTTTGCTATCGGGGGCAATGTGCGACAAGAATAGTATTTGAAGAGGGGGATTTACTTTTTTAAATTTTAAGGGGGTAAAGTGCAAAAAATATAAATTTATAGGGGGTGACATGCAATGTGGCATAAAATAATTTATGGTCTTTAGAAATTCTGAATAATATAAATTAATTCCATTTTTATTATTTATTTTTAAAGAATAAGAACCTGTTGAAGGAATCCAGCATTTTCCTCTTTGCTAAGTTGCGCCTGCCCTTCGGTTTTCCCTGCTGCGTCGCATGCCTTATCATGCGCCTGATGTGCTGTGCCCTTAGCAGATTCCACCCACTGCTCCGTCTTGGCCTGACATAATACATGTACATGAGAATCTCGATAAATTAATAAACTCGCTTAAATAACGATTTATTCCAGTCCCGATGTTGGGTACCCGTTGAACTCAATAGTTATTACAGACCAAATAATAAACATAAACTGTAATAAATTACAGATTAAATCCTATGGGAATAAGGGGTTAGGGAGTACAAGCAATTCTAAGAATAAAGCAGAAATAATAAAGATTACACAATATATATTTATTATTTATGCTAACCCAGAAGATCTATCTATCAGATCTGAGGAGAATCCACGGCTCAGTTCACAGTTCCCACGAGCTACACACCGATCCCGGATGAGGCAGCCAACGATTCCGGTGACAAGCCCAAACACGCAGCAAAAACACTCAATCTCTCCTCACTCTTTTCTCGACCCGAACCCAGAACCGATCTTGGAAATATCCAAGATCTAAAACCCACAGAAGGCCCCTCTTTTCTTGTTCTCACACAGAAACACCGAACTCACAAAGAACTCTCACAAATCACACAGATCTGTTAACCCACTCAAATCACGAAGAAAAATGGGAAATTGAACAAGAAAAGGGGCTGTATAACTTAGCTATCGTCGTCACTCCCTCGTCTCTCAAGGAGGGGTATAAATAAACCCGAAAAACAACAAATTTAGCGATTTCTTCGCATCCGATTCTAGCAACGCCATATTCGGCGGCAGAAGCGGTGAGTTGTTGCAGAAAAATTCGAGAGAGAAAGAGGGAGAGGTGCAGCCGTTTTTAGGGTTTGATATGGAGGAGAAATGGAAGAGAGATGGAGTATTTATGTGTCATATGGAGGGCTGAGATTACCTCTCAAAATTGACGGTCCAGATTAACTTACAACTTAAGCTGCTGGGCCAGCTTGGTGTTTGGGCTGCCTCCGAGGAATGGGCCACGAAATTAATTGAGGTGTTGGGCCAGTCTCAATATATGGACCATTTGGGCCCAACTTTTCCAACAATCTCCACCTGGGATCAAATGGTACAGGGAATGTATGTGATCATCATTGCCGTTTTTATTGTACCTGCACTCAACGGGAAAAACAGTTAGTGCATAATTTATTAGCATAAATAAATAACCTATTCTACGAAAGCAATAAAAAATGAAATACATAAAGTAGATCAACCTTTCGTCTCAAAATTCAGATTTTTCAAGCAAGATCTGAATTTTTCGATGGGTAGGCACTTAGTACCCATATCAGCAGGATTAAATTCGGATGGGATCTTTTCAAGTCTAATTTTGCCACGATCCACTATGTTACGAATAAAGTGATACTTAATTTGTATGTGTTTAGTTCTCTCGTGGAAGACCGGGTTCTTACACAGTTGAATACCTGATTGGCTGTCTGAATAGACAACTACTTCTCCATTTAAGAAACCAATTTCCTTAAGAAGACCTTTAAGCCAAAGTGCTTCTTTTATAGCCTCGGTTGCAGCTATGTACTCTGCTTCAGTAGTAGATAAAGCTACTATACGTTGCAACTGAGATTTCCAACTAATGCAAGAGCCACACAAAGTAAACACATAAGAAGTAGTAGATTTCCTATTATCTCTATCATTAGCAAAATTAGAATCCACATATCCGATTAACTCAACACCATTATTAGATTTGGAAAAATTTAATCCCAAGTTCAATGAACCTTTCAAATAACGAAGAAGCCATTTAAGCGCTTCCCAATGCGGCATACCGGGATTAGACATATATCTACTTAAACAACTAACTGCATATGCAATATCAGGCCGAGTACAAACCATAAGATACATAACAGATCCAATTGCATTGGAGTAAGGCACAGATTGCATATCATTCATTTCAGATTCAGTAGAAGGAGACTGAGTCTTACTTAGCAAAAAATGGGCAGCTAATGGCACAGAAGCAGATTTAGCAGAATTCATTGAGAATTTTTCCAAGATCTTTTCAACATAAGAAATTTGATTGAGAAACAAGGTGTTATTACTACGATCCCTATCAATATTAATTCCAAGAATCTTCTTGGCATCTCCTAAATACTTCATATCAAATTGTTCACTTAGACACTTTTTGATATAATCAATGGATTTCAAGCAAGGACTAATTAGGAGCATATCATCAACATAAATTAACAGAAACATAGGAATACGAGCATTCTCCATAAAATAAAGGCAAGGATCGAAGTCGCTTCGTTTAAAATTCAAAGAAAGCATGCAAGAGTCAAATTTCTTATTCCATTGCCTAGGAGATTGTTTCAAGCCATACAAAGACTTTTTAAGCAAACACACATGTTCACCTTTATTAGGATCTATAAAGCCCTCGGGCTGTTTCATATAGATCGTTTCATCTAATTCACCATGCAAAAACGCAGTTTTAACATCCATTTGCTTCAATTCCCAATTAAAATGAGCAACTAAAGCAAGCATAATACGCACAGTAGTGAATTTAACAACAGGGGCAAAAATTTCGGTGTAGTCTACACCCTCTTTTTGAGTAAAGCCCTTGGCCACAAGCCTAGCTTTATACCTAATAGAATCTACTTCATTTTTGACCTTAAACAGCCATTTGCAATCTACCACAGAACAATTAGCAGGTTTAGGCACAAGTTCCCAAGTATGGTTAACATGCAACGAGTTCATTTCATCATTCATAGCATTTAACCATTCGGTAGATTTATTAGATTTTAAAGCATCTTTATACGACTTAGGCTCATTTCCATCAAGTGATTCAAACACATTAAAAACATGCGAAGCAAGGTGAAAATCATCAAAGTGTTTAGGTTTCCTAACATGCTCACGTCTAGGTCTATCCCTAGCAAGTTGATAAT